GTAAACGTCAAAACTAATTAAAAAAATCTCCCATTCACCAGAACTAGAATGTCATAATCATGTAAATTTTTGCCTTATCTTTTTATCTATAGATATGAATCTACCTGAAAATATCCATACATATATGTAAATATATAGACACACACATACTTAATGTCCCATATTGTGACAAATGAATATTACACACTTTTTCTTTTTTTTTAAAGACTTATTTATGCATACAAGAACTGGGGTACAGGCGAGAGGCGGGGGGTGAGAGGATTCAACAGAGACAGAATAGGGAGCAGAACAGGCAGATCTATTGAAATACACTACTGAGGGAAGCAGTGGATGAGAAAGGAGAGGTCTGCTGCACCAAGTAGGTAGCACCCTGGTGCAGGGGATTGAACTCGTGTTGCAGAGGCTGCAGATAGCTTCACAATGCTGTGCTTAACCCCTTGCACCACCCGGAAGGCCCTATTACACACCTTTTCTATGCAAGCACTTCCTTATGCTTTATGACTTGTCGTCTGCTTCTGGAAGCTCAAAGCATATTTATTTTCTCTAATACTTTGATATAGTATGATAACAAATTTAATTATTTGAAAAAAACAAGTGCAACAATTATCTCAAAGTAATAGAACATTTATAGACATACCTATGAGAGACAACACGTCTTATAGTGTTAGAGGTTTTGCATTTATTGACTTTTCAATTCCATTTTCCTTTGGTGGGCAATAAATATGACTATTGAAGTCACAGAGACTATAAATTTTAGTGTTTCAGTAGCCTAATTTAAATGTTAAGAGATAAATATATTCAATAGTGTATTGATTATATCAAACTGCAGTATAACTTATAGAACTATGGGGCAAGAATGTTCAGAAATTAGGGAAATATTAATTTTAAATGAATTGAGTTCATTTTCCATGTCCATGCCTGTTTTATAGGTTTTTGTTTAGATGTAATATGAAAAGTATGCTTATTTAAGCCTTTTATTTCTCTTTCTTTTATTGTACAATGATTTTTTAAAAAAATATGCTTTTTATGAACTACTAATACTTCACATCCTGGTTCGTATTTTTTACATTATAGGATTTCTCCCCTCAGGTGTGGTCACTATATTTCTCCCACCACCAAAGCACCATAATCTTCCACCATAGTTCTTTGTGCTACCTCTCCCATCCTGGGTATTTCAGATTAATGGGAAGTTTTCAACGGTTGCCTTTAAAGTCTTTGTCTGATCTTTTGCTTGGTGTCTGTATATTCCACTTATAATTGAAAGCGTCTGGTATATATCTTTCCCCTTCAGGCTTTATTTCACTTAGGATAATCCCTTTCGATTCCATCAAGTAGCGCAAATGTCATGAGTTTGCCTTTTTTGATCACTGATAACAATGATATTTTAAAATTAATGTTCAATAAGTACCTTATTGAAATATTTTGCATAAATTCCTGGATTGTTACTTTAATGTGTCTTTCTTAGTTCTCATTGACAAAATTAGATCAGAATCTATATGAATCTATAAAATCCTTAATCACTAGCACCATTTCCATCAGATTATACTCCTACTTAGTCATGAAAATATTAATGAATCTTAATATAGGTCCATGAAAAGTCTTAAATGTGATAGTCCTGAATATATGACCACTGTGTGTGCCAAGTTGATTGAACCTTTTTTTTTTAACAATAGCTTTTTAGTTCAGCGTAGGGAATGAAAGAACTTGCCTTTTCACACAATGCCAAACCTTGAATAGTTCCAATTTCAGCCTAATCACACTGTCCTTAAAATTTCACTCTGCTTGAATAATGAAAAAGGGTGATATGAAAATTGTATGAAACTAGCATGCCCCAGGACAGGTAGGGTAGGATGTAATTACATATGCTTCAACAGCTGGAGCAATGTGCTGTAAGAAAGGCTTTTAAGGTGACAGAAGTTAATTGCACAGGTTTTAGGGCAGAAGGAAATGTATGTGAAGAAGCAAAGGGGAATGACACAAACCCCAAGAGAGTGTCAGATTTAGAAATTTGAGAGAAAAGGGATTATTTCAAATTAGAAATGGACATAAAAAGGTAAATGGTGAGCCACATTTTCCGATAGAACTAAAAAGGAGAATCTTGGCTGGGTGGAAAGCACTATATTCCTAGCTAGCCTCCCAAGCAGAAAGCTCTTTATGATGTACCTGCATATAAAATAGGACAAACTCCCATAAACCAGGCTGTGATATTTCCCTGGTGACACTGGTCCACAAGGCAGCTCAGTAAGAAACAGCATTTTCCTGCAATATCTGTAATGACAGTGGCATCTATCTTTGACTAGATATCATAGGGCCACAGAAACCGTGATACATTCAGACTTGTCTCCAGCTGAAAAACACAATGCTTTTGAAAGACATCCTTTGGGTGGCATTTCTCTAATGAAGGCTGAATCATTTTTTGCAAACTGCGTGAGCTTGTAACAGAGAAGAGAAAGGGACTGTGTATGAGAGTAGGTGTCACATTGAAAATCAATGTTTCAAAAGGGAAAAGAAAGTAAGCTGTGTTATCAATCTTGGTCTTATCCATCTTTGCCAAAGGACTACCTTTTTACATAGCTAATTGGACAAGAGCTATGCTGATTACTTCTGGTGAGTGCACAATAAACACAGTATCTTGGGCCTCCCCAGTGGCACAGCAGTTGAGTGCTGGGTTGCGAAGCTGCCCGCAGCCTCTGCAGCACCAGTTCAATCCCCGGCCATCAGGCGAGGGTCCCACATGGCGCACAGACCTCTCCTGCCTCGCCTGCTGCTCCCCTCAGCAGTGTACTTCATCAGTCTGCCTGCTCTGCTCTCCCCTCTCGCTCTGGTGAATTCTCTCACCCTCCCGAGTTTCTGACTGTACCCAGTGCCTCTATAAATAAATAAATAAATAAATCTTAAAAAAAAACAAAAAACAATATCTTGCATACGTATTCCTCACTTCCTGAATGTTTTCAGAAAAAGTATGTGATAAATCACCAATAAAGAAATCTTGGATTTTGTGTAATTATTGTCTCTTCTAGAAACTGGAGAGGTGTAGAAGTATCTTTAATAAGACTGATATTGTGAGTTACAATAGTTGCTCAAGAATATTACCACTCCATCTTTCATTGATACTAATAAATTAATTGAGTGGCACTAAAATACTTAATAAAGGCTGAGGTTTGCTCATAGAATAAAATTTATTGTTGAATTTTAATACATAATTCAAATATGTCAATTTAATTGCTCACTCTTCCCCATTCTTTAGACACTTCATTTTGATTAACTAAATGTGTTTTGAAGACATTTCTTCAGTTTGCTGAAAAAGTAAAAAATCTTTCCTAAGCTAGAATGTAAACACAAACACTAAATCATTTACTAAATATCTGTCAGCAATTTACAATCCCATAACCTCATTTCAAATTAAAATCTCTTAATGCTCCATCATTCTCCCCAAGGGAGATCAGCTTGAAATTCTCAAGGCAAGTACAAATTTCTCCTCTAGATTCAACTTAATCCTGATTTCTCATTAGAAGATTTATTTAGAGTAACATGATGTAATCCTCCTCATTATGGACAGCTGTGTTTATCAGCCTCCAAACATATTAAAGGTACAGATATATTCATTTACAATTTTCAAAAGTAAAAAGTCATTTCAGTCATATTTTTGCATGTCATTTGTATACCTTTGCATGAGTAATTTCACCTTAATTTTGTATTTGGTCAACTCTATTTTTATCTCACCAGTCTGTTATTTAAAAGAAATGAGTGTTTAGGGCCTCCCTGGTGGTGCAGCAGTTGAACGCTGGGCTGCGAAGCTGCCCTCAGCCTCTGCAGCGCCGGTTCGATCCCAGGGCACCAGCGAGAGTCCCACATGGCGCACAGACCTCTCCTGCCACGCCTGCTGCTCCCCTCAGCAGTGTATTTCGTCAGTCTGCCTGTTCTGTTCCCCACTTTGTCTCTGGTGAATCCTCTCACCCTCCTGCACATCTGGCCTGTATCCTGGTTCTTGTATAAATAAATATATAAATCTTTAAAAAAAAAAAAGAAATGAGTGTTTAGGGAGGAAAGCACCACCCAGCTTTTACATATCAAAGGTTTTAAATGAGTGAATCTGCACATGTATGTACAAAATTAAAAGGACCATAACACATTAATGTATAATATGCACAATATTGGGAGACTTAAGGGTGACTGAAGGAAGTTGAAATCATGTTTAAATTCTCCTCCTCCAGTCTCTAGGTCACACAGCACTTAAATTATACCCGAAGAAAATTTTGAAGAATTTTTTAAGACTTCCCAAAGAAATTCATTTACTGGCCTACCTACAAAAGGTTCTTCCTTAAATATATAGGAAATCAAACATAGCATATACGACATTTTTCTTTATCCTTTTCTTGGTGTTAATGAAGAATAATGAACTACAATTTCAAAATAATAATCTTCCTTTGGCCAGATATCTTGCAAAGTGCATCAGGGATCAGTTACATTTCCATATCCATCAGTGTTGTTGCTAGCTCTCTTGCAGATTGAGAGAACCAATCTGAAAACAAATTTACATCTCGGGGGCCTGAAAGAAGCAAAACATATACCCCTCTCTCCATCTACTTACCTTCCTATCTCTATAATGCTTCACAACATGAGAAAGTTTATAGCAGAAAATTTTTTATCACATAGAATAAAAATTAGCCAGATAGTGCTTTTAGATATTGACCTAAATCATCAACGAAAGTTTCCAATCTTTCATTGGGTAGTGATATTTAACTATATATAGCACCAGTTCTGAGTTTAAAGATACAGAAGGATGATTCTGATTTCCTTCTTATTTGGAATGATTTAAGTTGATTAAAAAAAAGTGCACTACATTTCATCTCTTAAGGTAGTAAATGTTTATTTGAATGCATTCCATTCAGGCAAAGTATTTTTAAACTTAAAAGCAATTTCTTGAATATCTGTTATATGACCATGATTGTTGAAGACATTTTGGAGACATCAATAAAGAGGAGAAGATCTCAGGGACGCTTCCGGCGAGGGAAGATGGCTGCGGCCATGCAGGACTCACGTGCGAGTGCGGGGAAGAAGCTGAAGAATTCTCTGAAGAAGAAGAAGAAGAAGAAGAAGAAGAAGAAGATCAAAGTATTAGCCAGGGTTGTAACTTCGGAGGTGGAAGATAAGGACAGAGACGCTGCCGCTACTGGAGGTTCTGTAAAAAGCTATGGATCGGAAAAGGATCACTCTTCTGATGATGATGAAGCAATAGAAGCTGACAATGAGGAGGAAGTTGAACCCTGTGACGATTACAGTAAAAATGCTGCAGAATCCAGTGCTGGAACTAATGCTGGCTGGGCGGATGCCATGGCTAAAATCCTTAACAAAAAAACTCCTAAAAGTAAGCCCACCATTCTGGTCAAAAACAAAGAGCTGGAAAAGGAAAAAGAGAAGCTAAAGCAGGAGAGACTGGAGAAAAGAGCACAGCTTGATAAGAAGCGGGAATGGGAAATGATGTGCAGAGTGAAGCCAGATGTTGTCAGAGACAAAGAAACCGAGAGAAATCTTCAGAGAATTGCAACAAGAGGAGTGGTGCAGTTATTCAACGCTGTCCAGAAGCATCAAAAGAACGTGGATGAGAAGGTGAAAGAGGCCGGGGGCTCTGTGAGAAAGCGTGCTAAGTTGATATCAACTGTCTCCAAGAAAGATTTCATCAGTGTTCTGAGAGGGATGGATGGTGAGAAAAGTTTACCTGGGAAAAGCCCAAAAGCCAAACAGAGTGCAGTGGAAGCAGAATAGGGTCCAGGATGGACGATCCTCCGGGATGACTTCATGATGGGAGCGTCCATGAAGGACTGGGACAAGGAAAGTGACGAGCCAGACCACAGCTGACCAGGGCCTGCCAGCGACCTGGACATGTGATGACCTGGACATGTAATTTTTTCATAGAAAAAAATACTTCGTGCTCCAACATGAAGGACACTGTTTGTAAGAAAGCCAAAGACTTCTACTGTTACCAGCTTTCATGTTTCCCTGTTTTCACATAAACTCTGTTAAATTTATATTTTCAAACTTTGTATAGTTGTAAGCATTGTTCCTCAAAACAGTTGTGAAAAGAAACATTTCTGCTTGGCCAATGAGATGGGCATTTTGCCGGGTCGTTAACAGGTTTACATGAGGGTCGTGGACATGGTTTGTTCTGATATCACCTGTGTTTCTTGAATGCAATAGCAATTCATAGTGAACATGAACTCAATCTAGTACGTTTTATCTTGCAGCTACTGACCTATATGTGTGTGGGGTTTTGTGGGGCAAGAGTTGGTTGTTTTGGTGAACTTTTGAGAAAAACTTGTGTAGTAAACTTTTAAACTATAAAAAAAAAAGAGGAGAAGATAATATAATTGCTCCTTTTCAGATAATATATCCATGAAACAATGCATAATTAAGTATACTAAGTTGTTATAATTATATATTATCATATACTGTGTTTATATATGTACATATGAAGGAATGATTGAGTAAAAGAAGCAGTCATAATTATGTGTGTGTATATTATGTATGTGTATATATGTGCAAAAACACAAATACTGAAGGATATGGCATTGAGAAGTAATTGAATATTTGGACTAGAAATGTCTTGTTAGAAAAAAGATGCATATGATGTTTGATGAAAGAAGGCAAGAAGGCTAAAAGGAACTTTCTGCTTTATTTATATATTAACAACAAAAGCTGTAAGCCCACCTCTATTCTTCTGCTTTTAAACTCCATTCTAAGATTAAGTGAATTTTTTTAAATAATTGTTTAAATTTATGTACATTTTTATTTTTTTGAAGAATTATTATATATCAATAGATTATATACAACTGCAAAAAGTTCCCCTTGATATAAGAGAAGCAACTTATTATCCAACTAGAGCCTCCAAATACTTACCCAGAGATATGGCATCTGGTGTGCTTTTGCTGGGCAGTCAGACTGATCCTCACTATTGTTGGTCAGTCCTAGTCTCTTGTCTTCCAATCCTTAGCAAAAAAAAAAAAAAAATTATCCCATCTTTACCCAGAAGTTACTTGTGGTAACAAGTTCTCCATTCTTCCAAACCTTTTAGTTCAATGAGAAGCACATGCAAAAGGTAGTGTGCACATGCAATGAGAAGCACATGCAATGAGAAGCACATGCAAAAGGTAGTGTGCACACTAGTATGAAGTGGTCACCAAAAACCAAACTAAGTGGTTGTTGGGGTGGGGCATTGGGGAGGAGATAGTTCATAAAACTTATGTCTAAATATCAAAATAATGTTTTTCCTGGATCATGAACAAAATCAAAGTCATAGTAGAATAATGGGTAGACAAACATGGGAGAGGGGAAAGAATGAGGGTATATGCGTGTATCTGTATTTAATGTGTTTGTGGTGCTCAAAGGTTTATGGATGATTAGGGCTATAATCAGGAGGAATATGTATCTTGGTTTGCCAGGGATTGTTGTGAATTTTGCCTGGTGTTTTATTAATAGCATCTGTTTTACTCTTGAAAGTGTCCCAGTTTGGAAAATTAATCTCATGATCATTATACATATAGTCAGAGAAGTTGTCATGGTGAGGAAAAGTTAGAAAAATTTTCAACTGAGTGAAGGCTGTTATGACTTATAGAAAGCAACGATCCAGCACTAGGCTGTGAAATCATAGGAGAGTAGCATTCGAGGTTGAAGCTGCTGAGTTGTGTGTGGGTGAAAGTGAATATATTTGCTTTGGTGGAGCAGTGTTTGACTTTAAATGTTACAGAAAATGAGATCAACTAAGCAGAGAGAATCCCAGTGATTAAGAATTTTGAAGCCCATAATTTAGAATTCTAATTAGACTTTAGCCAGTAGTCATTTTCCTTCTCAGGAGAGGAGATTTGCTATCCAATTTATATTTTAGGATTCTTGATTCCTATTTCTTCGGAAAAATCTCAGTTGAAGGTAGGGGATACTAAAATCAGCAGAAGTGATTGTTGTCCTGATCTACACATAATGTAGATAATATACAATCTTTGTTTGTGCCTATACAGATTGAGAGGAGTCAAAAGTTAAGAAAATGCAATCTTAACTATAAACACTGAGGGTAAGGTAAAAGCAACTTCTCTTTTCAAGGATGCATATGTGTTCCATTTACTTCTAAAATATAAAGAAAAAACATTCTAAATGCTAATTAATATTATAGTATGCATGAAGATTTTTAATTTCAAAAAAACTCCATTTCCTCATTGATTTTTTTTCCCTACGTGTCTCTCAGGAAAAGAAATTAAAGCAAAATTTTACACAGATAGTAGGTCATTTATTTATTGTACACACAAGTCTAACAAATGTTCATGAAAATAAATAAATCTAAGTTGTACTGTCCCATACCCTTGACTCAGGAGATATTATTTCTGCCAGAACCTTAAGATCACTGCCTGTTGCCCAATCCTAAGTGCCCAGGGAACTCTGTAATAGATAGTGGATGCCTATAGCTCTCATGAAAAAAATCTTATAATATTTGGGTGCACATCTGACCTGAACATCATGGCCCACTGATGAGCCAGGTTGGCTTGTATGTTGTTTTTCACTGTCTTTAAATACTGATCATGTTGCATGTGGTGACCATAGTCCTTGTAATTTTCAGGTCAACTTCCCCACCCCACCCAAACCCCCAACTTTTCTGCCTTATATTACTGAGGGTTGACCCTGCAAAGTATAATTCTCAGGCTCTTTTGGACTCTGCTCTTTGATTCAACCTAAACGAGGCACTGGGGGGAGATTACAGACCACAGGGGTGGGAGAAACAGCGTAACTCCCACCCTAGCCTCTTCTGCTGCATGGGTGTGTGGTTCTAATGGCCAGGACATCTTTTCTCTCTTCTAGTTCCTGCCTAGATAAATCCATGGTGGCTTTAATTCCTACAGGGCAGTACTAATGTCCACCCTTTTTTTAAAGATTTATTTATTTTTATACAAGAGCTGGGGTACAGGCCAGAGGTGCGGGAGGGTGAGAGGATTCCCCAGAGACAGAGCAGGGAGCAGAACAGGCAGAAGGACTAAAATACACTGTTGAGGGGAGCAGTGGGCGCAACATGAGAGGTCTGCCATGCCATGTGGGAATCTCCCTGGCCAGGCGGGAATTGAACCCGTGCTGCAGAGGCTGTGGACAGCTTCACAATGCTTGCGCTCCACCCACTGCACCACCGGGGAGGCCCATCATGTCCATCCTTTTTAAAACATTCCAACCCTTGGTTCTAGGTCTGGGAAAATCTCAGGTTGCCTTGTTGTCTATTTTAAATTTCATCTCCTTGAACACTTTTCTGACTTGGATCTCCACTAATACAGAAGTATTCTGTCTTTACAACACAATGTAAAATGGAGTTCCCTTCCCCAATTTGTGTCTTCTAACAACATAAAACCCTTCTGAACTGTGCATGTGGAAGTTTAGAGTCAAAGATAACTTTAGAATAAGGATTTTATTATGCTCATGAGCAAAGTGACTGAATTCTGATTTTCCCAAGAGCACCAGTTTAGGCCTGTTGTCCTGGCAAATTATGAAGAACTGTCTTTTTCACTCTCAAAAGTGTTAAAGTTCACAAATTTTATAGTCACTCTACCCATTCACACTCTAAATTTTATCACAGATTTTACAGTTGTAAAGATGACAAGTTACCACATGAAACATGAAATTCACTACCCGTTCTGTTACTTGACAAGTCCCAATTCTTTCCCAATTTATGAGTTTTGAGTTTTTCTCTTACCCCAAAGGTCCTGAGATATGACTGGCTTACATTTTCACAAAGTGTACAAATAGTTAATGATTAAGTCTGGAACCATAAAATTCTCAGTGATCTGGAAAAGTGACTGAAAAAAACAATAGTCCTAAATCTATTCAGTAGTTGGAGAATTTGAATCCGTACTCATGATGAAAAACTCTAATGCATATAAACAGCTAATTAAAGAAATATATTTATTAGATAGCAATGTCTAAGGCAGGGAGTAAACACTACATTGAAATTGAAATTGGTACTTTTAAATTTATCCATTCAGCAATAACTTTTAAGTATTTTATTTTGTACCAGTCTATGGACTGGGTGGTGGAATAATAGTAAGTAGCAAAACAAACAACACAAAAGGATGTATTTGCCTTCAATGGGGCTCTATTTATTAACAATAGAAAACTGAGACCATACTTTTTGGGGAAGTAATATGTATCAAGGGCATATCTGTTCATTTCTTTTCGTTTATTAATGTTCCTCAAAAGTTAATTCTGGGCCTCCCTGGGGGCACAGGGGTTAAAGACAGTGTTATCAAGCTATTGGCAGCTACTGCAGCACAAGTTCGATCCTCGGCCAGGACCAGGGAACTAACCAACATGGGTCAGGGAGCTAACCCACATGGGGCAGCAGACCTCTCCTGTCTCACCCACTGCTCCCCTCAGCAGCATATTTTAATAGATCCACCTGTTCTGCTCCCTACTCTGTCTCTTGTGAATCCTCTTACCCACCTGGCACCTCTGGCCTACACCCCAGTTCTTGTATGTATAAATAAATCAATCTTTTAAAAAAATTAATTCTTATGAAATTGGGAAAAGCATAAAGTTCAATACACAACATATTACCTGCAATGGTGTTTGTAATATGAAAAATAGAATGAACTATATAGTATTAAGTGAACACATACAAGCACATATAATTAAATATTTGCTACTAATAAAATTATATTAAAAAAACTAAAAGGTAAAAATACAAAAATAAATCTAATTGTTTTTTGCTGCAGTAATTTTATTTTGTTTCATATTTAGGACTTTATTTAATTTCATTTTCTCATTAAGGCCACTTAGAAAATAAAATAAAGAATAAATCTACATTGATCCAACTTATAATTAAGAACGTAAAACATTAATGTCTGAAGTTACTTTCTGCAGGAT